TTAAAATGCATACAAAGCACTTTACGTAAACATTTCTTTACATCTAACTCACAATGAGAGAGAATGAGGGATCCTATTTTTTAATAAATTAATTAATGTTTTCTAAAAAAAATTTAGTTCAAACTAAATATTAATTAATTAATTAATTAGATATACTTGAATAGATTTTAAATGTAGTCATTTATAATTAACAATCTAGATTTAATTCAAAATTAATTAAACTATAGTAAATTAATTAAACTATAATTTTAATCAAAGACAAATATGTGCTTCTTCAGATTCAAAATATTAGAGATTAGGAATATATTATAGATTTTGTATATATATAAAATTGTTAAATTAAATTTTGTGTACAATTTTATATAGTTTCTCGTAATTATTATACAATAATTCAAATACCAAATTCTGGAGACTAGAATTTTGATATGAAAATATCACAATAGTTTTCGAATTGTAAGTGATTGAGATAATGTTACGTTTAGAGCACACATTGTGACATTCCCACGGACTATAATGTAATATACGATCTAGAATCCGGAATAATCTCTCGCAAATATCACATGAACTAATAATAATAAATACCTCATGATTCTCCGCTGTCACTAGATACTCGCACTTCTCTCTCGTTCCCTCGTACTTTTCACCACTCGCAAAGCTTATAATTGCCGCGCACACAAATTATACATCCACGAATATCTGATCGCGTGGCATGTTAAATGGCGTATAATCACACGCAAATCCTTGCTTTATCACATCATAATGAAAGGATAACGCGAAGAAAATACGCATATTGAACAGAGCTATGACGAATTTACGCTATATGCAATTGATAATATTAAAATACGAGATCGTATAATTATTACTCATTAACCAAATGCTTCGGAAAACCTCGATTCGAAAAAAAAACTTAATTTTCGATAACGACTAAAAAATATGAGGATGGCGTCGATATTTTTGCTACTTTGTATTCCACATAAGCCTCTACAAAAATTATTGTCGCGATCGCGTTGTGATTTTGAATGATATTGTAATACCACAATGACATACGGAATCGCTCGCGCCACTACCGTTTAGTTCGAGTGTCGTAGTACGAATGCGTAACGCGACGACCTTTTGCCGTTATGCGGCGCGCCGACCTTTTATAACAACAACAAATGCCGAGCAACGTTGATTTTTGAAATATGAAAAACGAAGTATTCCCTGAATTTCGTGGAAAAAGTTTGGCAACTTGTTATTGCTCTCTTTCTCTTTCTCTCTCTCTGTACTGAATGCTTTTATTGTTTATACGAGATTGTCGCACTACCGATAAACTAACAGAAGCGGAGCAAACCGCTATACGTTATTACATACTACTCAAATGTAATCGCAAAGGATATCAGAAAAACAAGTGACAAAGATTTTCTTTAGACAGAATAAAAATTTAATTAATCCTTGCAATTACCATGCTCAATTTGATGCCTGATTTCTATCATCGTGGATCACTAGATCTACTTACTATTCATTTATCCAAAATTATTAAAAAAAAATCTCTAAAAATTCACAAACGTACATTCAACCTTGTAGACAAAACAAATGTTTAAACTTTATTTTATAAATATAATATAAAATAATTAAATGTATTATATAATAATATAAGAGTTATAATTACCGAAAGACTATAATTAGTTCGGAAAAGATAAGGAATTGCTCGGTCACACATTAATAACCCACGATAACAAGATATAGATTAAGTATGATCTCAAGATGAATTACAATCACAATTATTATAAATTAACAGAAGCGGAGCAAACAGCTATGCGTTATTATTACTCAAAACTTAACTTGCAAATGATACCAGAAGAAACAATTTAAGAGATTTTCTTTATAGAGTATAAATTTAATTAAATATGATCTCTCGAGATGAATTATAATCACAATTAAACTTTAGAAAACGGAGAAGAACGTAAATTAAATACACGCAAGTTCAAAAAAAAAGAAAATGGAACTACTATTCTCCGCTTTTGTGAAAAAACATGCGGCACAGCGTATTAAGACCTTAAAGTGTCACGAAGTGCAATTAATTCCCGCTCCCTTTGCGGACCTACGTTAACTTGTCGCGACATCGTAAGTGCTCCTACTCTCGCTTCAACAAAGTTCTCCTCGCTATAATAAATTCCCACTATTGGTGGGTAGTGCGCAATTGAAAATTCAAACATTTCGCTTCTCGTTAGAACCAAATGGAATTTGATAATTAACGGGAATAATTATCGCACGGACGCAGATATAAACGATTACGTATGACGGAATATCAATCGAATTAATGAAGCAGCGGCTTTCGTTGGCTGCGAGAAAATATTTTTGTGCAAAGGGAGGAATATACATGTTAGCGAGCAGTGAGCTTGTTCTCCTACCAATCATTAATATCGCAATAAAGCAGCGCATGAAACCAACAGAAAAAGTTAATGTCGCGGAACGAGATGTACGCACAGTGCCATTAATTCCCTAGCGATCTTTGCGATGGAAAATTCTATTTCTGCACTCTCAGATCTTTTTTTGATAAATTTATATTCCATTAAAAACCGCATTGAATTGAAAAAAATTAGCAATTAAATGTATAAGATCGATTCGTTCCACTGGAGATCTGATCAAATCCATTTAAATGCTGAGAATTATAAATAATCATAATATTTTATATTAAAAATATATGATTTTTTTTCATATAATATCAATCTTGTAATTTTATAAATATTGTTTTTTTTTAGTTATGTAAGCTTTAAATCAGAGATTAAACTGCAAAGCTATACATTTTAATCTAAGCAAATGGAATTATTGTAGTATTTACTGATGCAATTCTTCGTTATAAATATTTAATATGAGGAGCCAAGATTATATTCGCGATTTATACGTAGATCTATATATGAATTATTTCCATAAACTTATATAAGCGATTCTCTTAGTAGATCTATATATAACGTAACGGAATGTTATATTGCATCGAATATTATAGTACTGTCTCTCATAGAACCACAAAGCCCATAGGGAAACCCAAACGCTATTGCGGAATATCCCATACATAGACACATAACTAGTCGGCTTTACGCGAGCTTCTGCTTAATATTAAGTTCTTTACGAATATGAGTATAAACATATCGGAAAGTTCTGTTTATGTACATAGCCTTAAGAATTAATACAATTGATATTACAAATAAGCGAGATTAAAAGAGACATACTTTCTCTTTTAAAAATGGTCGAGATGATTTTTTTCAAAATAAAAGAAAGCGAAAAAAATTTATACGTTTTTTTTTATATTAAACACGCGTATAATGTTCAAAAAGGATAAATATATTTTCATCTATATTAAAAGATTTATTAAACATACATCATTGTTCATGATATTTAATTTACTGTTTTAAATAATAATTCGTACAAATTTTATAAATTAAAAAAATAAAATGTCTTACACAATTGCATTTAATATCAAAAAATATAAATGGAATTTGTAACTAAAAAAAAATAAAATATATAGTAAAATTTCACGATATTCATATATGTATTCACATATCAGATTTATTCTTCCATGTAATTGAAAACTGAACATTTATCCTGGTTTGGAATATCGCAGTCTCAAATGTGTTGCATTTTTAATACAGATTAGTTAAAAAATGGATATTTTTTAGAATAAATTTTATAAACGATTAATAATCGTTAAATTATAAAATAGCAATGATTTCTTCTAAATCTAAAGAAAAAATTGAAAATATCGTAAAAATATTCATGTACGATAAAATAAATTTTAATTTATCCATATAATTACATTATTACTCTTAAAATATGATATAAATTTCCTTTTAAATAATGATCTGCAGAAAAGATTGATTCTGCATCTCGCAATAAAAATATAATGTAAGTATAAAACGTTGATATACAGTATTGTAAGTGCAAAAGAATCAATATACAATTTACGAAAACCTAAAATAAAAAAATTAAGCTATCGGAATTTGTTAAAAATCCGGAATTACTTTTCGGAAGTATATATATTGACACATTTCCAATATATTGTAGAAGTTAGATAAAATATAACTAAATTCATAAGCAAAACATAAATTTCTTGTTTTAATTAATGTATAAGTATTCTACTACGGAATATGTATGTGATATTCTAGAAATATTATTTTATAATTGAAAAATATATATCACTACATAAAATTTAATATTTTTCTGCTGACACTGCATAGATATAACTTTTAGATACGAATTTATAGATTTAATAACTAATAATTTATAAACTTTCAACTAAATATATGACTGATTTTTCATGAATAATAATAATTAAAGCATCGTGCAAGCGCCATTTATATTATTTCATGATATTCGTCGTAATCTCCATAAATGTATGATCTATTCGATTTAAAATCACGAAAGCTTTAGAATCAGCAAAATTGTAAAATATTTAGTAGCTCACAATGGTTATTGCTCAATGCAACGAGATACTTACAATTAGCAATATTAATAAACAATAAATCTTTTAACAGATAAATGCATTGCGCACTAAATACATTAAAAATATAATATAAAAAAACGAAATTAAAAATAAAGTATAATATATAAACTCCAAGCCCTAATTTTTAATAATTCTACCATTAATAATTTTTCACACATAGTATAATATATACTTACTGTATTTAATTTATTTTAAAGATTATCATTTCTTTTGATAAACTACCAACAAAAAAATACATTTCAAAGAATAAAAGTTATAAAATGGAGGATATAAATTTAAAAAATATATATCTTCTACTTTCTATCTTTCAATATTATTTGCTAACAACTTATAAGTATGAATTCTCAAAAAAGTTATTTGTTTAAAATATTTGATATACAATTTTTATAAATAGTAATCAATTAATTATTATTTATATAAAAGTAAAAGAATGAATATTTCATCGCGGGTAATATTTTGTCTCTCAATTCACCCAAAATTCGATCAACGTAGATAATAACAAAATTATATATCCACTCACCACTTTGTCGTCCGCGTAGATAATCGAAGATCCCGGCGCTCCGCTGGCGAGCACAGTGAGAAAGGCGGCAACGACTACGTGACGTATCATCTTCACGACGGAGCACATCTGTCCAGCTTCCCGAAGAAGATCACCAACGCGATTTGCAGCACTCGCGAGAGATCGATATTCTCCACGATCAAGGCAAAGTTTTACGCAAACTCACGATAAACCGCACTATCGTATTTCCCCTCGGGATTACATACCGCTATCAACTATCGATGAACTCTTTAAATCCCTTTGGAATATTCGTAAAATATTCAAAGATAACAATTTCACCGATTTCAAGTCTCCTTGGGGTGATCAAAGTGCGCGTAGTAGAACAGATCAAGATTGGCCGGTTTATCAAATTTTGTCGGGCAATCGAATTGAGAATTCCAAGTGATTTAAAAAATCTGTTTAGGATGATCAAAGTACGAAGTGTATAGTCCAAGTAGAAATCTCATTGAATAATCTCAATCACATCAGGATAACTGCCAAATAATCTTTGTTTCTTTAAAATGTCTCGAAAACACAAATTATTCAAAATATAAATACTTATTATCTTCGTATTTTTTCAAGAATATTCTCGAGTATATTTTTACACAAAATATATATTTTTTATGACACCACTATGTAATCTACGATCTGTTCAAAATACTCGCGAAATAATTGACGACAGCAATACAATACGCGACCGATGTCTTGTATTTTCCCAAGCAATTACTCACGATGATTGAATAGGATTCGCGATTAGGATGTCGAATTTATCGACGATGGGGACGCTCGCGTGACTGGACGTCGTCTACGTCTTTTAACATTTATGTCTTCAATGACGAACCAAGATTTTTCCCCTCACTATACGATTGTTCCTCCCACCGACGGGTGCTCCTCCTGCTTCCTTTTTTTCCCACTTCTTCTTCCTCTACGTCTCGACTAACCGCGACGACGGTGATTAACTAATGAGCGTCTCGCGTCGCTGTTCGCTGCTTACTTAATTCGCTTCTTCCTTTCCCTTTTCCTTCTCGTGTATCGGCCGACTTTCGTCAACTCGGTAGTCCTGCGCCGCCCGCGGCGATGACGACGACGGCAGTGATTACCGGCTTCTTCGCACTTTCCTCCGGATTCGGGCTTTCCAGCGGCTGGCGCGTCCATCCGCCGACCTACGATTAAAGTACAGTTAGAATCCGTTAGAAAACAAAAATCGAAACCTACCATCTACCTTATCATTATCTATCTTATCATTAATATTTACGATTTATGAATATCTGTGTTTGTACATGTAAACAGCAATTCTTATTCAGCGTTTCTTTTTATTGTAATAAATTAAACTTTTTATTGAGTTGGAATCAAAGCGCTTCTTTATTTGTATTATGTCTACATGTTTTAAAAAAAAAATTTGGCAATTATATTATTCGATAAAACAAAGTTTCAGCTTTAAGGATCTATCTTTTTAATTGCAACACGCGATGATTTTTACCTTTAGGAGCAATTAAAGTTAAAATACTCTTTTTATTTAATTCGCAATATTTAGTAACAAAAAATTTTAGAAACATTTAAAAAAAAAACAAATTTTGTAGAGAAATCTTTAATCTTTCACGTTAGATAGTCGAAAATTTTCGCAAGATTTTTTTTGGGCGTATGACAGGCCTACAAAGTGAGAAATTCCCCATTTTGAGTTTGTAGTTTTTTTATATATGTAAAAATTACTAAACACAGAAACTCAAAGGACATAGTAATCTTTGAAAATTAGAAATTTCGAACTTTAAGTTAAGCCCCTGTTTTTAAATTTGAATTTCGTTAATTTTTAACATAGTTGTATAGTCGTTTGAATTTTAATGTCCGTAGCTCTCAGAACTTTTATTCCAATCCAATATTTAACTTACAATTAGAAAGATAATCTAAAAACTGCCCCATTAATTTATCTGTAAATTTACTCAATTAAATAGCTCGACAACTAGATCTGAAATTAAAATTTCATTACGTTTACAATTAAAGATCGGATTTGATTAAAAAATGATCCAAGTTGTTAAGCACACAAAGTAATACGAAGACACGATATCATTGTTACGTGACGAAGAGAGAATAAGAAAAAGAATGTCGGGCTACGAATCGAGATTCATCCTCGACAGAAACTGTCTGGGGGAGGTGAGGACAAAAAGTATGCAAACTTCATCGGACCCTTTAGTTCCGAGTACGGTTCCAGAAGAACCATTCGACGACTCGCGCGAAACAGTGCTCTTTTGTATGCGGTAGATAAACGATTGCCGGACTTAATGATCCCGAAGAGCCCAGATTTCTCGTCACCTTTGAGAAATATTAGAAGACAAAGAGAAAGAGGAGGATCAAGTCGAATTTCAGCCGAGAAAGTTTTCCAAGAAAGAATATCACGAATTTTTATGAATCAGATATGTGACGCATGCACGAAATCAATGTGATAAAGTAAATTGCAATGCATATGCAAAATCCCAATTTAAAGAAGCTTGCATATTACATATTACAAGCTTCTTTAAATTGTATTATAGATTCAAAAAAAAATTTGTTTTCGAGTTAGTACAATAAAGATAAACAAAACATAATTTAATTTAATTAAATTAAAGAACAGTTTATATCTTTGTATATATACAAATTTTAGAAAAAGGCGAAATCTGCGAAAATTCTTGTTAATCAATCGCAAATCCATCGAAGAATCTTGAATCTACAATCTAAAAGAAACATGCGACATACATATGTGATACTGGTTTAAGGATTTCTTTCTACTTTATATCCTGATCGCTTCCCCGAGATTGTTAAAACTTTGAAATCCTTACGCCGCATATCTAAGAATAAGCTGAATGAGTCTTCGAAAGAATTGAGAGAATGCTCGAAAGTAGGTAACAACAAAGTCAGGAAAACATAATTAAATCTTATCCCATTCTAGATTAAGTCGCGCGCGCTCTTGATGAAAATTCTATCCGATCCATTTCGTCTTGCTTACACCTGCAATGATAATCTCGTCCTACCGTGAATTGATTTGAATTCACTTATATTCAAGTCTTTTTCAGTTTTGAATTTAATTTCAAATTTAAATTTCATGTAATGTATACATATCGTATATTTATATAAAAAATTTATAAAAACATTTATGAACAACAAAAAATAAATCATCATATAGAATTGCTATTATATTTAAATTTAATATTGATAAATAAAAATTTATATAACCAAAAGTTTCAATGCAGTCTAATACAACAACAAAGAACACAGATTTCAATGATCTATAGATGTAAAGCTTTAGTTTAGCATAGTTTACATAGTTTACATTATGTAAACATAGATGTGAATTATTATATAATTACATATTATGTATAAACGCGTTATTAATTTAATAACAATTAATCATTATTATTCAAATCATAATTCTAATGTATAATATAAAATATACGGTAATTTAGTGTAGACTATTTCATTAAATTAAATAATTAGGTATACATATAAATGCATATGTGTATCAAATGGGATTATATCGACTGTTGAATTGTATAACGCATGTTTCTCATTCACATGATAATTCGTGTAATAAATAGACCGTTAACATGTTAAAGCGTGAAGGTTCACGCAGGTTATCTTATGAAGGACGAAAATACGAAAGCGATCGATCAGTGAGACAAGCAGAATGATCGTCATTGGTTGATAGTTGGAAAAATGCCGGGAACGAGGACATGAGATAAAGAAAAGCCGATCGGACTGGCGACCGGAAACCGGAAGAAGATCATACGCGGGACCGAAAGAACTAGAGGATCGTTATCGCCGGGGAACGTGCCAACGCGAGCTGGCATGACCTCGTTTCATCGTGTCTCGATAATCACCGGCATTCTTCACAGTACAGCCCGCTTCCCTGCTTGTGACTTGCACGCCATTTTCATCTTACATCTCTAACAACGATTTTTCTTCGCAACTCGATATCCTGATAGGATAAACGAGTTCTAAACAATTAATCATAAGTAAAATCGTAAAGATACTTTCGCGATTTGCAAGAATTCAGGCGCAAAAGTTCGTGATTTTGTCAAAAAAAAAAAAAGGAAAATTTGCCAATTACTATTTTTTTCAAAAATAAAATCAATTCAAGATTAGTTAAAGGATTTTAAAACACAATGTGAAATTCTTGAGAATTTGCGAATAAGAAGGATATTATCCTTTTATTGTATTAGGATTTTAAAAGTAACTTTTATTAAATGGATTTTCCAGAAGCATTATATATGAACCTCGAAAGCGAATGAATGCAGGTAGAATGCGATTGAGTGAACTGCGCAATCTCCCTATCAGGGCATTGACGCGAGTCTTTCTTTCTTTCCTCAGTAAACACAATAGATAAAAGACTGCGGAGACAAGAAGTGAGACCCTCGGTCGAAGACCTTAATGAGATACATCGCAGCAATATTTTTATTTAAATAGTTTCTTTTGATCACAACAACTGGATCCATTTCGATTTAATTGATATATCGTGAAGTTCACAAATTATTACGAGACGATTGAACACAATTTCAGATTTTATGCACAAAGAAAAGGGAATATTTTATTTAGTAAAAATATTAATCTAAAAAGGATTTTAAACAGTAAAAAATATTGTTGAACTAAATAATAAGAAATTCAGAATTTATTTAAATAAATTATTTCTAATTTCTTTAATTTGAATTAAAATTAACACTACTTGAGAGCTTTTTATAAATTTTAAGAATCATGTTTTATCATAAAATCGATTACCGTCACGCGAGAAAGAAATTAATGAAAATTGTACTTCAGAGATACGATCCATATTGACGTGACTTTAAGAAAGTGCACGATTAATTGAGAAGAAATTATTTCTCGGGGGAAATGCGACATTTAGCGTAAAATCTCGGTGCCACATGTTTTTTAACGTGAAAAACGGATAATGGTGCGTTTTATTTAACTACATATTATAACCGCAAAAGTGAGCACGATAAAAAACGATAATATCATAAATCAAAGTGTAACAACGCACTATGTGTTATACATACGATAAAACAATGCTATTATAAAATAATGCTATGATGACTATCGATAAACACTACTTTTTATTTTCATGCACAGGTAAAAACATCTCAAATGTTTCCGTAAATTTCCCCGGTCCGGAAAAAAATTATCAAGATAGTTGTTTAGTTATTTAAAACGTTGAATTTTTCAATAATTTTGAATTTAGCTATTTACAAAACATTGAATTGCTTTTTATTGTAAACGTATCAAGTTTCTTTAGAACGCGTTTAATCAGTAAGCCAAACAATTTCAATATAAAAAACACTATTTATCTAATCTGTTGATCGAACAAGTTCATTATTTGTAGATCCAATTAACACGTCTTTCTTTGATTTGTTTTCGTATCTAATTTGTATATCCAAATGAAGATCTACGTGTTCTAGAATTCTTTGCTTCAACGAAAAAAATAAGAAAAAAAAACAAAAAAACAAGAGAGAGAGAGAGAGAGAGAAAATCGGCCATCGCTGCCCACTCGCGCAGATATTTTCTGAATCGTAAAGGTCTTTCCTTCGCTCTTATCC